AAGGAAATCTAGCCAAAATACAAATATTATTAACTTATCATTTTCTATAATTTAACTTTTAACTTATCCAATCTTACTATTATTAATATAATTAAATAATATCAGTTACTTACTCTTACACATCAAATTTAATTCATTATTCATCCACTCACACACATTGTTGTAACTAAATATCACTTCACATCACTTGATGAGGTTTTTGAAAAATGTGATATGTTAGTTGTTAGAGCATCTTTAGTGGAGGTTTTTTACGAGGTTTATAAACCTCACTTTTGAATTTTTACCACTATAGTACATAGATTTGAGGTTTAAATTTGTAAATCAAGTTTATATTCTCAAACCTCCGATAAAGCTCATGAGAATAGCGTGAGGTGGGGTGTCCACATGCCACCTAATTTTTTATTATTTTTGTGTGTTCGCTTTTGTTGTTTTTTGTATTAAGTGGAAACATGCGAATCTATTAAAAAATATTTGTGAGGTTTATGATTATTAGAGGTATGTAATATTAGGAGTAAGAGCATCTTTAGTCATAAGGTTTAATAAACCTACTTTTTTACAATCTCAATACTCTACATCATTCAAACTCCATTCTTATATTCAGTATCACAAACTTTTAATAATAATAAACCTCACAAACCTTCTTTTTATGTAGCCCGTATGTTTCTCACGTACTTTAATTTATATATATATATATATATTTAATTCATATTTACTAAAAAAACTATTCTTTAATTTTTACAATGACATATTTATCATATACCTTAATATAATATATTGTACGTATAACTAAAATTTCAAAAAAATTACTAAAGAAAAATTATTACACATAAACCTTACAAGAAAATAAAATATAGAAACTTACATGCCGATAACAATTAAAATTTGCATACGTAATCGATATAATACTCTTAATAATCAGGTTCGTTCCATATATGTTCAACTTGGTCATGCCTAAGTATGATGGACCTGCATGTCTTGCACTTTGGTTCTTATTTGCATGTACCGATGAAAATTTATTGGATGTCCTTGATGTGTTTGGATAGTTGGTTCACCATCGTCATTATACCAATTGGTTGTCTCCTCAGCCTCGTCTTCATTATCATATTATGTAAAATAATACACGATAAAATTATTTCACTAAGATCTTCTTTGTACAAAAAACGAGCTGGACCACGTACAATTACCCATCTTCACTGGAGCACACTGAAAGCACGTTCAACATTTTTTCTTGCAGCCTCTTGTCATTGCTTAAACTTTTTTCTCCTTTGGATCTTCAAGACACTGAAAGTTTTTCACAAATATTGCTCATTCCGGATAGATACCATCTGTTAAGTAGTAACCTTTTCGATAATGAGTTCCATTTACTGTAAAATTTACCTCCGGTGCTTTCCCATGTAAGACATTGTTGAATAGTTGAGACTCTTCGTAACAAATTAATATCATACAACTTTCCAAAGTCAATACTAAATATTATCCTCAACCATTTTGGAATTGAAGATTACTCCCTAGTTTTAATGATTTTTTTTATTAATTGGATAGTTATGTATTTATTTATTTATCTCCAAAGAGATAAGCCCAAAAATCATTAGATTTCATTGGAAGCCCAGACAAATACTAGAGCCCATCAAATAGTGTGGGCTAATTTGATAAGACAAGTGCTAAAGCCCATCTGTGGGCTAATTTGGTCGGATCGGACTCATCTGTTAAGATGGGTTCATCAGTCATCATCAACCTTTATATAAGATGAATAGAAGGGGCTGAGGTGAGTTGCATTTAACGGTTTCCTATTTGACTCCTCTCTTCTCCCTACAAGAAGAAAAAACAATTCCTTCGATGAGATAAGCCAGAAAGCAATGGTTTCATCGGTTGAATCGATTAGGAGTTCTGTTCCATCTTCACGGTCTCGCAGGTTGGTATAATCTTCTCCTCTTCTTCTTATTTGGTTTCATAATTCAACTTCTAATGTAGAAAAGCATGCCTTTTGTATTCCGTTGAAATTTGTGCTCTGCTGCTTCAAATGCGACCATTTACAGGATTTTAGGTCTTATTTTCTTTGTGTACAAGGGAATCTGGAGTGAAATTTCAACCTTTTATTGACCTATCTTTCTATTTTTATGGGATACCTCCGCACATGTATGCCGATTGATCTCTGATTTGAAATCCTGTTTTTTCGGATTAGTTAATTTGAACACTGGTTTGAGAACAATTTACACACACACATATCGACACCTGTTACAGTGTAATCCAGCAATGAGCCAAGTAGAATCGCAGACGCCATGGATATGGACCCCAAGAGAGAGAAACTGCCTCTCTCTCCTCCAGGCCAAGCCCCCTCGCCGCGCCGCCCTCCTCCAGATCCACGCCTTCATGCTCCGGAACCTCCTCTTTACCAATCTCAACCTCGTCGCCAAGCTCATCGCCGCCCTCCCCTCCGCAGACCCCCACGGCGGTGCCTGCCATGCCCGCCGCCTGTTCGACCGGACGCCCCACCGCTTTTCTGACGCCTTCCTCTGCAACACCATGATGAAGTCCCACCAGGCCTCCCGCCAGTTCTCGGAGGCCATCGCCTTGTACGCCCGCCTCCAGAGGGCGGCGGCGGGATACTCGCCGGACAACCACACCTTCTCTACCCTGGCCAAGTGCTGCGCTGCCACCTCCTCCGCTCGGGAGGGGACCTTCGTGCACGGCCACGTCATCAAGTACGGTTTTGGGTCGAACATGTACGTAGCAACCTCGCTGGTTGACATGTATGGGAAGCTGGGCCAGATGGGCCACTCCCGAAAGGTGTTTGATGAAATGCCCGAGAGAAGCCCTGTCTCGTGGACCGCCCTTGTGACCGGGTACATCCGGAATGGGGACATGGGGACCGCAAAAGAGCTTTTCGACCTAATTCCTGATCACAATAGAGACACGGCTGCCTACAATGCGGTGATCGATGGGTACGTGAAGCTGGGGAAGATGGGGCCCGCAAGGCTCCTGTTCGACTCCACACCGGACAGAAACGTGGTGTCTTGGACGGCCATGATCGACGGCTACTGCAGTTGTGGTGACGTGGATGAAGCTCGAGTGCTATTTGATACCATGCCATGCAGGAACTTGTACTCGTGGAATGCGATGATCGGAGGGTATTCCCAGAACAAGCGGCCCAACGACGCGGTTTTTCTGTTCAAGGAATTTCTGGCGGGAAACTTTCTCGAAATGGATGATGTCACGGTCGTGAGCGTCCTTCCGGCCATTGCGGATTTGGGCGCTCTCGATTTAGGGAATTGGGTTTGTGAATTCGTGAAGAGGAAGAAGCTTGATAGGTACGCGAATGTTTCGACTGCACTGGTGGACATGTACGCCAAGTGCGGGGAAGTCGAGAAAGCCCGAAGCTTTTTCGACGGCGCACGAGCAAGAGAAACGAGCACTTGGAATGCCCTGATTAACGGCCTGGCGCTCAACGGGCGTGCGAACGAGGCATTGGATGTGTTTGTGAGCATGACGGAAAACGGGTTGGAGCCGGACGAGATTACTATACTTGGCGTCCTCTCGGCGTGTAACCACAGTGGCCTTGTGGAGGAAGGGAAAGGGTATTTCCGTAAAATGGAGGAATTCAAATTGGTTCCTAAAATCGAGCACTATGGCTGCCTAGTGGACCTCTTGGGCCGGGCGGGGTGGCTGGAGGAAGCCGAGAGGCTGATCGAGAGCATGCCTTATGAGGCGAACGGGATTATACTTAGTTCTCTTTTGTTTGCGTGTGGGTGTGCTAAGGATGTGGGAAGGGCAGAGAAGGTGGTGGAGAGGGCGTTTGTGATGGAACCGGCTAACGATGGCAATTACGTGATTTTGAGGAATTTGTATGCGTCACAAAGGAGGTGGAGAGATGTGGAGAGGATCAAGAGGATGATGGTGGTGGGAGGGGCTAAGAAGGAAGCTGGCTGTAGCGCAGTCGAGGTTGATGGACAACTTTGGGAGTTTAATGCGGGGGAAGGTGGGCATCCGTATGCTGAGGTGGCACGACGGGTGTTGGATTGGCTGCGGTTTCACATGGAAGTGTGGGACCCACTTGTCGATGCAGATTGTGGGGGGATTGGATCTTGAAATATGAAAAGGTTGTGGTTTTTTGTGAGGGTCTGAGATGAGCAGGCTTGGAATCTTATTTTATTATTTTTTTTTGCTGCCTGAGTCTTGTGAGTTTTCTGATGAGCAAATGCACGTGCGCGTAAGAGGATTGGGTTTGTGTTGGGAGTTGGTTGCTGTTGCGTTTGGAAAGGAGGCTAATTTGGATTTGACCGTAATAATTATGTGCGACCATTGACAAGATTTTCTTGAAAAGATGCGAGAGTGCGATGCGTCTTTTTTAGGTGAAATTCTAGCGTTTAAAGCTTTTCTGATTTCCTGAAAGAAGACGAAAAGTAGACTGCGAACGAGCGAACCCTTTGAGCCAGCAAGTGGTGATGGTGGCCATGGGAACCACCCTGTGACAAGTTTCATTACCTACACTGGATTCGAGGAGTTTGTGCCAAGAACTTACACCTAAAAAGGTCCAGAGAAACCTTTTATGTTTGAACTCGCTTTTTACATATATACAATACGGGGCTATCTGTTAAAACCCAGCGGCAAATTGTGAATTTATCATGTTTGTGTTGAGATTGCTCGTCACATTATTACCTTTGTGGGGGAAAGATATCTTTTGAAATATAAGTGCACTGACTGCGTTTCTTTGTTGTGCTGAGTTTGCATCTTGTTAGTTTGAAGATTGTTGAAGAACAGTAAATTCAAATTTCTATTAGGAAGGAGAAAAATAGACCACTACTCTGAATTTTCATGTCCTGTTAAAAGTTGTGATGCAGGTTCACATGCATAATTATTGAATGCAAATGTTGTGATTTATAAGCTTGTTATGTCAAATATTGATTCCCTCTCCTGTTTGAATGCATATGTTATATTTCTCATATAGCTTGTTATGACGGTTGTTTTCTCTATTTTTGGACATACTTACGGAAAAAAATAGAACAAATTATCAGTAAAAAAAAAGTATCTTATAAGAAAACCACATATCCCCTTTGTTTGCCGACACGTGGCTGCCTTCTTTGCTCTCCATTTGAGAGTAAATGACGTCGTTTGGTCTACCTTAATCGTTAAGCCCCACCACGAAACTTTTTTCCTTTTGGCAGAATTCCCGCTGGTCAAGACGTCTCTTTTTTTCCTTTCCCCGAGTTCTCTCACACACGCAATCAGACAGTCTTTTCATTTACCCACCCCTCTATCTTATCTCCTCTGCCAGAGGAAAAAATATTAGCGATCGGCATTCGACATCACCCTCATTCTTTTCATTTTCCAAACCCTTTCTTCTCTCCTGACTGAGTTCGCTCTAGCCTCGCCAGGCATAGCCTCTCCAAGCTCCTCGCCCGAGCAACCGCCGCCATGGAAGAGTCCTGGAGCTCCGTCGCGTTCGACAAACCAATCTCCACCAGATTCACCCAATTCGCACCAAATCCGACAGCCCCGCGTGCGTGATAAACCTCGACCACGACAAATTGATCGATCTCAGAATTCCCCTGCACCAGTCGGAGATAACCATGAGCGAGAAATCAGTGACCCTCGAGCACATCGACATATCCAGCACCGCCGTGTGACGGTACAGGGCCAGCGCCTTTTTTGTTTTTTATTTTTTTCAGCTTTTGTGTTGGTGTCGATTTATTTTTGTAATGGGTATTTGTTGATATTAAGAGCATTATTTTTGTGGTTTTGTTTGTGCAGAGCTTTCGATTTTTCGCACACTCAACAGAGTAGAAGCTTCTCTCCAATCTCAAACCCCCTGTGGCTCTCCTCTACGGCTTTACCTCATATTCATCTTCACCTCCAGCCTCCGAACCAGGCTCACCTCAATGCCCTACTCCAACAACCCGCCGTCGTCCTACATTGTTCCACGCCTGAACAGCGGACCGGCTGCACTGTTCGGAGGGAGAAGACAGGTTGAAGACGAGAGAGGCGACGGAATGTGTCCAGCAATGGACAAATCTGGCCCAATCAGGCGTCGTGGACTGGTATTGAGACGGGAAGTGACTTTTTTGAAAAATTTCTCATTTTCGTTCGGGTTCTCAGAATATACAAAGCGGCCATTTTTTCAACGTCTTTGCAGGAATGCTGCTTTTGGTCGAAACAGTTGTTTTTATTGTCATGATAGACAAAAATGACTTTTTTTTTTCGCAATTTTCCCTTCTGAATTCTTTTTTCTATTTTGACTCCATCACCAGAAAAAAAATTCATTTAACAATATATATAGTTTGCGCGACTTATCAGAGTTATTGAATATTTCATATTCAATGGATGGATGCCTATTGTGGAAGATGTTGTCACACATTATTATTGGGTTAATTTGGGACTTTTGGAATTAGGGTATATCGAAATTGTGTTCTCTGATGTGGATTATTCAGTTTGCGAACAGTTGTTGATGTGCTTCTGTCATTTTGCTAGCGTGTGTGCATAGTTGATTTTTTGAACCATTCATTGGTGATATTGTTCGGTTCTCCAACTTTTTAAGTTTACAGACTGGACATTGGTCGTGATAAAGACGAGGGTTTAAGACAGATCATGATGATGAAGGATGTAGTTGTTTGAATGATATGAGGATTTCCATGTGGTCATGAAAAAAGAATGAACTTGATGTTGGCTTTGTTTTTTCGCGTTGACTAGGTTGTGTTGTCCTTTTGCTTGGTTAATACTTGTTAGTTGCTTATTTAGTTCATTTTAGGCATATGGCTATGGGGATTTACACTTAAGATAGTTGTTGTTGTCGTCGGCTTAAGTTTGATTTTGTAGGAACCTAAACACACACACAATGTAATCTTTTTTCTTTTTCATTTTAATTCATTAGATGGATAAACATATTCACTTTTCTTTTGTCATATGCGCACACCCATAGAGTAATATAATTCAATATGTTATTGTAGGATAAATAGCATACTGGCTTTATCTGTTTCTATCATTAAGTTTGCTTGTATAATGATTATGTATTCTGGATGACATCGGGTTGAATCTTTGCAGGAAGGAAAAAATTCAATCTCACGAGACGACGACGATAGAGACTTCACTGAAAGGTGTGTTTTTATCTGTTTTCTTTTATTTGGTGCTAATTAAATGTCGTTTGTTGGTTGAATTGGACCTGTAGAAGTTAATAATTGCTTAATATATGGTTAGATTTTGGCCGCTGAGCCCGGGATGGCCAAGGAGAGCCTTCTGGATGCAATCCTGTTTGTGAACGAGTGTTCCCAGTAGGCTGACCCGGATCTTTCGTTGAGGCAGAACAAGGTCCTGGATTATGCTGAGCGGCTCGTGAAGAAACAAATGAGGGCCGTGTGGCTGTTTCGGGAGGCTGCAGCTAAGCATGGCGGCATTTTGTGTGAGGGTGGGCCCGGTGATGGCTGTGGACACGAGAGTGATGATTCCGAGTGGAAGACTGCGGGTGAGAGTGATATGGGGAATGATGATGGTGAGGAGAAAGGTGAATCTGTTGACGATGATTTCATAAGGAAAGAGAGAGGCGGGAAAGCATCAAATAGAGGTACCCTTCGTGTTATTTTTATGCATTATTTGAATTGGTGCTGTAATACTTTCATTCGTTCTTTGTTTTCTTCTCTTTTGTTTCGAGGTTTTGGTAGATCGCTTAGTTTATATAAGACTTTCATTACCTTGTGTGACTGTTTGATCGTTTAGTTCATCTTATTTTGATCTGGTTTTTGGTTTGGTTTCTTTTGCAATCCTTAAATTAACGAGGAAAAATCTTTTTTATTTGAATACCTCAAAGATGGAGTGGCTGTAGAAAGCTCGTGCCTGGGACTTTTATTTTTCTACTTCTTTTTTTTTTTTTTTATCTGATAATTGAGCAGATGTATCCGGCTCATGTTTTCCAGTGTTGTTGTTGTCTTGCACTTATTTTTACACCCTCTTAAATTAATGGATATTCTCTTGTTGTCATTGTGCAATCTGCCACACTTGCTACACTTGCTGCCAACGTGTGGGCTGTTGTCACTTGCCTCTTGACCATGTTGAATTGCAGTTTTCTTTATATGCATAGCTCCTTTTTCTTTTTCAATATTTTTATATGATATTTTATAGCTATATTTGTTTGTTTAATTTTCATTACAACGTTAGGTCAATTTATATATTACAGAAGGACTTGAAAGAGCTCGCGATAGCTTCACCAAATCTGCTGCATTGAGGGAACAGTTTGTCTTGGGAACCAGTACGAGTCGAAGAGTTGCAGCTATTGTTGCTTTAACTGTAATTTATCCACATCTTATTTCTTTTGTTTATAACTTACCTGAGCTACTTTCTAACTTTGTTAATTTAGAAGGGTATAAGAACGATAAACGTCAATCTGAAATTAATTACCGAGTGGTGTTGATCCCTTGTTAACCAGGCAGAAGCTGGTGCCGCAGTTGGAAGCAGTTTTAAATCATTCATGGCGATACAACATTGTAGGGGGGCTAATGCTGAAATTCGTGTTGGAGGTGCAATCGTCGATTAATGGGCTGTGGGTACTGGGAATCCGATTTCGAGCCTTGGCCGAGCAGGGATGACAACAACTGTGACATGTTGTAATTGAAGTTCTTATCTTTTTAGGATTTGTTGTAATTGAAGTTCTTAGACACCAGCTTCTATTGAGCGGTTTGAAACTACTTACTGAGATATTAGCGTGGTTAACAAGGACAAATCTAATTTCTTTCTCTTCAGTTTAATTTTGTTATCTAAAACTCATACTTTGCTGCTCATTTTCAAGAATTATTTAAGGGGCTATTATTTTTTCCAGGCAGAAAGAGAACACTTATTTCATCGAGATAAACAATGTACACACAGGTATGAATTGTGCTTATTGGCAAAGGTTTTTTGTTGAGTGGGGGTCAAATACCATTTATAGGATGGTAAAATGGCTTAAATGGATATTTAATTTTAAATTTCTAATTTTCCTTCCATATTCACTTCAAAAAGGTATATTTTGAGTAATGAACAAACTTATATGATATGGTTCCAAAAAATACGATAATTTTACAAATGTAAAGTGAAATAATTGGAAGGCCTAATATACGCATATACGCTATTATTAGTTTCGTTAAATATTTTGTAGCAATTTTACATTCTATTTTATCAAAAAACTTAATGTTAACAGGTGTTTCACAAACACTAATTTGAGTTCAATTGTGTTTGTGTTCAGTTCGATTTCTCACATGCCTCACAAAAGGAAATTATGTCAAAAGCTCAAGCGTGGTACTGCATAATACAAGGAGAAATTTCAACTGGAAAACTTTGCTAAATATATATATATATATATATATATATATATTTTTTTTTTCAGGTTCCCCATCATTGGGAACTCTTTTGCTTTCAAATTCTCGAAAATAGTTTTTGTTTTTTGACACGAAGTTGTTGGAAATTGTCTTTGTTATTTAACAGGAATCGTCGTGTTTTTCCAAAAGGCTCATTTTCTTTGCTTATTTGGAAAAGCATGGTCAGATAATTGAAAGTGCATACATTATGCAAAATTACCATAAAATTATATTACAAGCACGACTTAATATACTTGGATTTTTCTCATTTTTTAAAGACAATCATTTTGATGCAGCCAATTTCCATGAATTTTTAGAGAACGCATATTGACAGCAACTATAGCAACACCACCAAAGCAGTTATACAAATTGCAAATGCTAAATATAAAGATGGGATAGTTCGGTCATGGGAATAAACTTATGCAGAATGGTATTATGAGAGAATTTTTGGATAGCAATGCTAATCTACTTGCATTTCAGAAATCATACCCAATGCATTCAAAGTTAGAATCTAATGTTTGTTATAATCCAACTTTAGCACTAATCTATTATGTGGCTTGCACTAATCAACTATGCCGCCATTCCAAATTGTGCTAGAGTAGATCTTTCATATTGTTCCACTTTTAACTGAGACATTGGAGGTAAAATGAAATTTATCTTGATGCTTCAGTAGTAGCTGTCACTGTTGATTCTAATGTACTAATGTTGTAAAATTGCTGTAATTATCATTCTTTTTGTTATACATTGCAAATACAAATGTTAGCATGATAACTATATATTAAAAGTAATATTCAATGAAAAATTACTTTTGCAATGTAACACATAATTTGATTATAAATTAATTACATACCTAATTATAATAAAAATTGAGCACTATTATAACGAAATTGGGCCCGGCTGTATGCTTTACATGTATGGGAGATGTAGGGGTAAAATCTACCCCATATCACAATCTCATCATTGCAGCTATATTTTCTTACCAAATACACAGGTCTTATTACCTGGCCCTTGGGGTAAAATCTACACAGACATAGCAATTTATACCTTCCTTGTTGCCGCCACACCTTGCTTCTCAGTCAAGGCAGATATGGACATCCACAGTGTCAGGGGCGGAGCCACCCATGGGCTAGGGTGGACTCCAGCCCCAAGTAAAAAATAAAATAAAAATTTAATTTACATATTAGATTATTATTGATAAATAGCTCCGGGTAAATTTCTTGTTAGCCCTTGAGTTAGCCCAACAAGACAACAAAGCCCAAAAAAATTTAAAATCCAGTGTTGCTTGTTAGAAGACGTACAACTCTCTTTTTCTTCTCTTACAAAAAAGACAACGGGCTCTGTTAATCTGTAATATGTAAGTTCTAAAGCCCTCTACTCTCACCTCTTTCAAGCCTCTGCGACGGTGAACGAGACATCTTCTATCCGGCGTCGGCAATTGCGAGATCGGTGTGCGGGTGCGGAGATTGCGAAGAACGGAGGAAGCGAGTCCGAGACCTTCGGGCTTGAAGGATCGAGCGGTCCGGTCGGCAGCCAGCAAGTGAGCGGGACCGACAGTGACTCCGAGCCCGGAGGTAACACGATTGAACCTGAATTTATTTTTGGTTTATTAAGAGTATGAATAGCCGTACTGAATTTATGTTTGGTTTATTGAGTATGAATTGAAATGTGGTGTGAGATGTGAAATTTGTGAATTGAAATGTGGTGACTGGTTTTTTCAAATTCTTATGTTTGTATCTTTGTTCTGTAATTTGTTATAGGTTGATTTAGTTTTGGTAATTTTGGTTTGTCCCTTTGTATTGCTATAGTGAATTGAAAGTTGAAACCTTAATTGTTTTTCTCTCAATTTGTGGTTTGTTTGTATTGCTATATGTGAATTGAAAGTTGAAACTAATTTTTTTCCTCGGTTTGTGGGCCTATGGCTGTGGCTATATTTGTTGTGTCACAAATTTTAAAAATTTATGTTGAAGTTGAGATGGGAACATGTTTTTAGTTTAATTATATGTGTTAATGCTTGTTGATCATGTACTCAATGCTTTAAATTCTAGTATATTTATTTGATCAATTTATTTAATTTATTTGACAGGTTAATTCGTCTTGTTTTGACTCCTCCTGTGTCTACGGCAACTACGGCAACTACAGGGCGAGCATTTTCAGCTATGAATCTTGTCAAGACAGTTCTTCGTAATAAGATGGAAGAAGATTTTTTGGCGGATCCAATGGTTATTTACATTGAAAGAGAGTTGGTCGAAAAGATTAGTAATGATACTATAATCGTCGAATTTGAATATAAAAATAATCGGAGATTGCAGTTTCATTAGCCCCAGGTATATTAAAATCCTAGCTCCGCCCCTGCACCTGTATGTGGAGATACGCAGCTAATTTTGGAGATTTTTTTGTCTTTTGATCTCTTCCCCAAGTATATTATATATGGTGTTTTTTGTATGGAGGTTGAATTGAGCTTGAGCTATAATTTTGCTTTTTCTGTAGCCAAGGAGTTAAAAAAGAATATATGGACGGCTGTGCTGTCGAGGTAGCCGTCCCGTCTGGGAAGAGGATAAAATGCTTTTACTTGATCTACAACCATGGAAAAGACGAAGACGACCACCATAGCTTTTCGTGTTTTGCTTTGAACAAGGGAACTGCAGACACGAGTGCTTTCAGCATCTCACCGGCTCCCGGCATGACAAAGCCCCTCCCGATTTATTTAAGTTCTGCAGCCGTCGCTTTAGGATCCACAATCTACATCATCGGTGGTTTATGCCGTCCGGATTTCTTCCCTGAAGGGTTTGATCACGGCAACAAGCATGAAGCATGTTACGGTCAGGTTCTTTGACGTCCTTCGATCGGAGGACGGGTGGTGGGAGGCGGCCCCCATGCACATCCCCAGGCTCAGGCCAGCGGCTGCCGCCATCGACGGGAAGATTTACGTGTTGGGGGGTTCGGATATGTATTCCCCTGATGATGGTGAATGCTTTGACCCGAAAACCAACCGTTGGGAACTCTTACCATCTGCGGGCTACGATGCCGGTTTGCCCTACATAGTCTGTCCGTACGTGAGTCGAGATGTTGGAAAGAGCATTCTCGTGCATTCCGCCTGCGATGGCGGGACCCTTCATGCGTATGTTTTAGCTACGCGCGAATGGGATCTTGTTAGTCGCGATTTTTCCGAGTGCGACATGCCGGCTGCAGTTGTTGGTGACTTCATGTACACGCTGCTCAATGGCCGTGATAAAAAACGGAGGCCTTTGCACGGTTATCATTTGATTCACAAGAAATGGATCCCTGTCGACATTGATCCCGAGAAAGAGTTTTGTACGGAAGATGCATGGTTGTTGCTTCTGGTAGTGACAAGTTGTGTCTGTTGTGGTAACACTATGACTTCAAGGACGGGGGTAAACATAACAGGATAGAGTGCTTGGAACTTAGACTGGACAATTCATCATGTAGTAGTGACCCTAGATCAGAGACGGAGCATATTAGTGCCAGCATAGTGTCTCGTATCTATTTCCGTTTGGAACCTTGCGCTGCCCGTAGACACCTTATTGCACTTTAGGTGAGCGCAGTTCCAAATACTTCCTCTCAGCTCCGTTTTTTTTTTTTTTTCTATTTCCTCCTTTCCTGCTATAATGGTGATCTGATATGCGGTTCAATTTTAAATGACTAACCTTTTAATTTATATGTCTATACAACGTCGTTAGAGTTATTCACTTTTTCTTTCTTGATATTTTACCGCCATATATGATGCTGTGTTCTTTTATGGTGTTTTTGATTTGTGACTCCTCCTGTACGTGCTCTGCTACAGCATGGGGATCTCTATATGTCCAGACCATGCTCTCAGATGATATGTACAAGTTCTTTGCTGTTACCTGTTCATGTTTTTCTTGCTTCAGCTCTCTGTCCAGTCATAATGCAACTTCCCCTCCTTGTCATTTTACAGGCAAGAGCCAAGATATATGATGATTCGGGTGCGTACTTTACCCAGCAAAATCTGCTTACGCAGGCTTAAGGTTTATGGATTTTCTTCATGCTCGGTCTCCTTTGAATCCAAAAAAGGCTGTTTTTAAGTGCAGTATTTATGTTCTAGAAAATTTACGTTTTGTCAAGGTTTTCGTGTTCTATGCTAGACAAGGGGCATAATTATTAGAAGTGGTTTGCCCAGTTGCCTTAGAATACTATTTGTCATTATTATTGCCTTCTTAATATGGTGCTCATTTTTGTGGTTATTTATTCCGGTAACACCTGTTCAATAAACTCAAAGGGTGGTTTTTCACAGAGATTAAGTTGAGAATGTGCGTTCACTCTGTTTGTGATGAGTCCGTGGTTTGACTGGTAGTACTTGCACCCGTTCGTCTTTGATTTGGTTTATTGTTAGTACTTGCACCGGTTCGTGGTTTGATCGATTTTACTGTTTAAACAATTTTTCTTTATCCGTGGGCGTGGGCAATGAGTTTCCATGTATTGTGGTTCTGGCACATGTTTCAACACATGTTTTCCCGCCTAGGCGCTGGTCGAGCGCCTAGTGACATTTAAAACACTGCTCTACCCATTTCTCATTTCTTAAATTCACGCAGCTCTCGACACCGTTCTCCAGTTTCGTTTTTCGGCAAGGCTCCGCGCCTCGCCTCCGACTCCTATAAGCACCTCCTCTTCGCCTCGCCTCCGACACCACCTCCTTGCTTCGCGTCCACCTCGGCGACCCGCATCCAACTCCACTTTTAGCTTTCAAAGGTACTTACTCCATTTTACAAAAAATAAAAATAAAAAAGGTACATGTAAACTAGGTTGGAAGCTTAAGGAACTAGCTTCAGGGTTTCTCTTCAAGTTCATAAATTATTAACATTGAAATATATTTTATTTTCATTCCTCTATGCATTGCTGGATTTTAGCTATTTTAGGGGATGATGAAATTTGAGTAGTTTTTTGCCACTCAAGTAGACAAATTTTAGGTGTACCTGAACAGATTTTTCCACAAAATTGACTTTGTATGCATTACCTAGGGTGAATGTTTTTGTATTTGTACTTTAATTTTTGAGGCGCAAATAGCATTCTCATGCATTACGACTATGATGGCTACCCCTTAATGCATTCTTTTTAGCTGCTCAGAAGTGGGGGGAGGCTGTTAGTCTCGATTTCAGCCTTTTTTTGTTGCTATAATCATGATTAGATATGCGATCAATTTTGAATGTTTTAACCTTTTAATTAATATCCATACAACGCGTAGTTTTTCAATTTTTCTCTAATGATATGCTATTGGACAAATGATGCTTTATTCTTGTATTGTGTTTTTTATTTGTGACTTCTCTTTTTGGTTTCATGTACGTGCTACTTCATGGGGACTCTCTAGATGTTCAGACAATGTTTCTATGATATGTACGAATTTTTGGCTGTTAACCAGTCATTTGTGCAATTTTATCTTGCTTAAGCTCTTTCCAAAATTTGCATGTGCTTTAAAGGGTTCTTGAATTGTTGTTTTTTGTTCCTTCAATGACCTAACATTATTATGTTCTTGTAAATATTTGAAGAACAATAGGCTATATTGTTAATGTGCTCACTGTAGGAGGTTAATTATTCAGTTAAGCACTTAAAACTCGTAAGTTCAATTATTCAGCTAAACACAAAAATGATTAAAAGTAAATGTCTTCACTACAATTCAAAAAGGGTAAAATCTAACTGATGATTTGCAACCTCTCTTCCATGTAATAAAACTCGCAAGCTTTTACTCGTGTTCAAAAAAAAGTGAGCGAGTTTGACTGCTATTCTCTTTTTATGGTGAAATTTTAATGTTCATATGAGGTGCTTTTTGAGCAATACTTGGTATCTCAAATATCAATTTCCCATCTATCAATAATGTCGACTCACATTAGATGCTCCTGTTGAATGATGCACTTACAAAGCCATACTATTTACCATTCTTTCAACTATTCACAAGCATTGTTTTGTCATAAAGAAATTATTGTATTTTATAGAAATACTTTATCCATTTAGGGTTGGAATAGGCAGATAGACATAATATAAGTAGATAATCATTGCTATATACAATATCTTAGGATACTTGGTTTCCCAATTATAACTAAAAAATATCTTAGTTTCTCATATTTAAAAATCTAGGACTAGGAGAAAACTTTGTTTACAAGGTCTTATAGAGTATACTGGGGAGTCTTTTTTCCCGAAATTGAAAAACCATCTTACCTTGAGATATTTTAGTGACATTTTATAAGCTGTTTTAGTGACGTTAATATTAATGTACGTTCATGTTATTCAATTATTGTGGCATAAGTGAAAATTATAGAAATACACACTTTCAAGGTAGGTAGTTTTGTGTGTTTGCCGTTTCTAGTGTTACTCTTGAAGAGATTGAACAAGTTTGAATATTCTTAATGAGAATAGTATCAAGAATTATGAATAATGGATGAGGGCAATGTCAATTGTGGTTTCTTGATCTCATTGACGTCTTGGTTAGTATTGTCTTTTTACTATCAATGTGATTTAGGTATTATTTTAACATCATATTTTTATGCCATTTTATTGCAGTGTGTTATCAAAACCTTAAAAAGTATCATGCTCTCTCTCGTTCGGAGAGCTCATGAAGTTCTATAAGATCCTTCTAGTGGTACTTTTAAATTAATAAAGTTTGAGGAATTTTATACTTATTGCACATCTAGGAAGATTAAATTTACGATAAAGTTATGGATATTGGTTAAAAAAGTTACAATACGAAAGTTCACAACCTTAGGATTTTGGAGTAAGAATATCAATATGGGCTTTAGTTTGATGGAGATTCAAACTCTAAAATGATATACGGACATGTTGAAATTTCGAAGGTAATACTAAATGAAGGCAAGAGAGGAAATCTAGGAAATGATTACTAAGGTTCGTACCTATATTGGATTTTTTGGTAAATATATAATATATGTGATTATCTCAATCATCGAATCAAATTAAAGTTTCCAATAATAATATTAATATGGACTGTAGTCTGGTTCGATGATTTAGATAGTATGCCATATATATTATATATTTATATATATAAAAAAATCTAATATAAGCACAGACCTTAGCGATAATCTCCTCGATTTCTTCTCTCTTGTCTTCATTTAGTAATGGCATCAAAGTTTCCTCCTCTTTTGTATATCTTTTTGGAGTTTCAATCTCTATGTTAACGAACTCCAAACTAAAGCCTAATACTAATAGACTCCAAAACACTTTTCCTGTTTTCTCAAAAAATGGTTGTGAACATTCGTCATGTAACTTTGTGTCACCAATAGGCAAAACATCCATAAGTTTGTCATGTAACTTCTTGACTTAACTGGAACATCCATAGGCAAAGTGTGTTTAAATGTGCAATAAGTCATATCCTCAAAATTTATTAGTTCAAAAGTACGTTCAAGGGTATTCATGTATACCAAGAACTTCGCGAGCTCTCCAAAACGAGAGAGGAAGATGCTGAAACTTTGAAGACATTACTTGATGAGTCCAAGTGAGCGAGGCAAACCCATCAGACCTGGTTTTTTGGGAGCTGGAGCCGCTCCCCTGATGAGTCCAAGGCACGGCAAAAACAAGCGGCGAGGGTAAAATGGAAAAGCTCTTATTATTGTCCTTCTTTGAGTTCTTATTAATAGATTATATACAGATCTATTTGTTGCTTCTGTAATCTGTATGCTACGTTGATATTCCACTAGTGTGTGAATGGGGGACATTGAGGGTAAAATTAAAGCTCTGCAATATTTGTCCTCAATGTATTAGTTTTGATTCATTAGGCAACTCATCTTTTCATAGCGATTTTTTCAAATTTTTTTACCAACAGTTGACGGCTAAAAACCCCAGAAAATGTGAAATAAAACGGAAAACATAGGTGAAGAGACTCAACGACTTGCAACCAATATATGTAGCTCTTGTACCAGCAGACATCCCAATGGCCAGCAACTGTTCCACAGCTCAGCCTCCAAGCGATGGCTCTATGCAGAGATATAACATTATATGTAGCTATTTTAACGACGAGCTTTTGTAAATGTTCATATGCAGAGATATAACATTATATTTGCTTAGAATATCAAATAGTTATTGCCTTGACATTGTGCTGTGTTCTGGGATTTTCAATAAGCTGTCTATATGTTCCCTCATTTGCAAAAACTGATTGGTATACAACTTTTTGTGGCATGACTAACTCAGTTGCTTGATTTTTGCATTCTTATCTTCCTAACGTAATCAAACTTTACTTTGTATGCAGATAGAAAGTATGGAGCATACTGTCAAAGAAGCCAAGTGGCATGAGTCTATATACTGGCACTTAGCTGCTCATGGTGTACCCAAGAGCCTTCTCTTCCTCACACTTAATTTGGCTGAAGAATATTCTGAAAATGGAAGACTTTATGCCTGGGAAAGAAAACGCTTGAAAATTAGATGTCCTTAGGCCATCTCCAACCGAATACTCTATACTCAAACCCATTTTGTAGTGTTTATCCCATTTTGTAGTAATTCATCTCCAACCGAAAAACCCATTCTCTAACCCAAAAGAATATTCTCGAAATATTCTCTTTCATATCAACTTTTACAATTTTTCAATACTACCTACATATTTAACAATTTTATAAATTAGACCCATTTTTATTTTATATTCAATTGAAAAAATACATAATAAACTAACTATAGATTAAAAATACATACATAATAAATATGTTTATTGGAATAAATATTTGTTAAATAAGCAAATATTATATACATCTTTTAATTTCAACTTATAAATTAAATGGAATCATATTGTTTGAATTTGATAACATTTAATTAATTATTTCAATTTTTGTAAGAATATTATAGATATATTTTTATAAATATTTTAACTTCATAATTTGATATGCGCAATATATATTTTTATATTTTATATATTTAAAATTATATATATATTTATATCTAAAATTTTATATATATTTCATGGCTTTTTATATTTTTTATTGACATAAGCAAAATAAAAGGATAGAATACTTGTCTTCAACACAAACATTTTTGGTAATTTTTATATTATTTTTTATTGTCATAAGTAATATACAAAATGAATATTTACCTTAACACAAATACTTCTAATAATTTTAATATGCTTTTTTGTAAAAAAAAAAAACTTGTACACAAGTTGAATTGGTAACAAAATTATAGTCATTTACAGAATTTATTTTATTTTTATAAATAAAATTATTAATTAGTAACTACTAACTATAATTTAGTTATTTGTATTGATAATTTCAATTTTCAAATAAAAAAGGATTGAATTGTAATTTTAAAACCTGAAACGCATTTTTTGGGTTTGAACGCAAATTTGCGGTGAAAGAGGAGAGAGAAACCCATTCATTTTGCGTTCCGATTTTCAATTCGGTTGGAGAACTTTTACTGCAAATTTTGGGTTTTGGGTATCGGTTGGAGAAAGTCTTAGTCCCAGTAGCATCTCCTTATTAAACCCACCTCCGAATTTATTTGCCCTTGGTAATTTCTCAACTTTGTATTGAGTGAACAATTTTCGGTTATATGATGAAAAATTGGTTCGGTTTCTGAAATTTGTGTATATCAATTTGTTTCCTGATCCGGACAAAGTTGTGTTATTAGATGATGAAGTTGTAGTACAGCGTGACAAAGTTGTCTTCTCTATAAAACTTGGATCTCAATCAAAGTCATGGCTAGAAAACGGGTCTGGAATAGACATAAATTTTTCATATTAGAAAGTGTGGAATTGGAATAGCAGGTTAAGGTTATTGAGGTCATCAGTCTGTTCTCAGGCCTTGCTCCCTCTGTACAATAGCTTATATTTTTGGTCTCTGATATGTGAAAGGTACACTATTGTCAATTACTCTTATTTTTAATATCGACGCACTTGCCATTTATCTTATGTTACCCGTGAAAATGAGCGAATAAATTAGAAAAATATTTTGCATGTGAAATAACAAATAAAACAATCATCTGGACGTTACACAAATAAACAACTAAATCAGCAATCATGTATACATTTAAGAACAAATTATACGCACAAAAGCATGCGCCGCTACATTGCTTGTCAGCCTAAATTTCATTCAAAGATCAACACAAAATCAACAATAAATAAAGAAATTGCCTTGAAGCCTAAATTTCAACCCACCAGAAGCAATTTTTTTTCCACAGAAACGATATATAGAAGAAAACAAAGAGTCAAACAAGAATACCATTATCATAGCACTAAAAATAAATGATAACCTCTTTATTGAACTTATGATTGGCCGCAATAACACAGTCATTTATCATTCTTGAAGAGACCCATGACCATAATAACAGCAGCAGAAGTCGGGACATGGGATGTGGCCTCGAGAAACCAGCTGCCCTCACGCCACACCCAAATCTCGAATTCAAAAGGTTTATTCATTTCAACAGCAAATCCAGCTTTCCGTTTCCGAAGATCAATACAGTTATCATGAACAATGGCAGCAAGCGAGCCATGAAAGTCAGCAAGAACAATATTGAAGAAGCTCAATTCCTTGTCGGTTGGAGGCATAGGAATAAGATGAGCAGGAAACTCGCCCTTAACACAGTCAAAAGGAATAATAGCAAAATGGTGAATTTTATGCCAACGTGCAGCCCAATAATTAAAGCCGTTTACGTGAACACAAGAATTAGTCAAGGGTTCGAAATTGGGTTGATGAGGAAACACAATTTCCTCCCACAAACCAGTGTTGAGCGACATGACACAGGCCTGCCATAATGGGGGTAGTCATCATCCTCATCGTATTCAAACATGAAGCAGAAGACCAACTTATAGTCCCCCGATGCCCCAAAGCAGAGTGCCACCGTCTGCAACATCAGGCAACAAGCGCGGTTCCGGTTCCGGAACAAGGACAGGTTTGAGATGGTCCGTTGCAAGGTCCCACAGAAAGAAATTAACACCTTCTTCTTCTTCTTCTTCGCCACCACGTGGTGGTGAATAAAACAACATCCATGTGTTGCAGCTCACCACTACTTTAAACTTTTCATCTGTGAGTCGAGATAAATTGGGAAGATACTTGCCTGATTGTACCGGTCTGAAGGAGTTGTTTTCAGTGGAGAGCACCGTGCACTTTGGAGATTCTCCTCCGATTTCACGTTGCACAAACAAAATCATGAGATTACCGTTTTTGTTATTCGAATCGAGACCGAGCTGAACCGGACCATGGGGTTTGGAAACAAGAGCAGCAGTAGGAGTAGGAGGAGTATACCGTTTCAAAAAAGGAGAGTGGACAATTGGAGAGCGGGTAAAAGTAGGAGGAGACTTGATAATAGGAAGAGAAAGAGGGTGATTATGTGAGCGGATAAAAGGAGGAGGACCAAGACAGAGACAGCTTGTCTGATTCACGGCAAATCGCACCGCCATTGCTATTTTCGAACGATGATCGGAACCTAATTGCTCGTTCCCGTCTATCTCGTGCAATTCACATATAAATTATGTGTGCATAAAATTTAAAAATTCTTTAAAATATCTATATTGACGGCATAAAAAGTAACACATAAAATATTTTTGTTAGTTTGATGGACCAATTAACTACCTAGAAATATATTGAAACATTATTATTATTACTATTATTATTATTATTATCATTATTATTATATAAATTATTGAAGGGTTTTTTTATGCCATTAAATTAATTATATGATTAGAAACGAATATTACTTTTAGAATAAATAGCTAGAAAGAAAAAAANAAACTTGACAGCCTGAAATTATATATATAGAGATTCTTCCTTAAAATTGGATATTAAAGAAGGAGAAGATATTATTTGCTTCAAAATTTTCTTCCCCTACTTGTTAACCTTTCCATCCCATTATAGTCTTTATGTAGAAAGGATTGTTCAAATATGTAAATCTTTTGTTTATTTGTTGAGATTTGGTTACACAATTATTCTTTCGTGTCCTTTTCGTGTTAAACGAAAAAAGGAATGTTTACAGCTCAAAATATGGGGAAAATTCAATTGCAGTGATAGACTTTTGAGTATTATGTTATAATAGGATCTGAATTTTTAACTTTCTTAATCGAAAGTTTTAATTTTAAGTTATGAGCGAGTAATTTAGAAAATGAGCGAATAATTTAGAAAATATTTTGCATGTGAAATAACAAATGAAACAATCACTTGGACGTTACACAAATCAACAACTAAATCGGCAATCATGTATAAATTTTAAGAACAAATGATACGCACAAAAGCATGCGCCAAGATATTGCCTTTCAGCTTAAATTTCATTCAAAGATCAACACAAAATCAACTATAAATAAAGAAATTGCCTTGAAGCCTAAATGTCAACCCAACAGAGGTAAATGTTTTTCACAGAATCGATAAATAAAAGAAAACAAAGTTCTGGAAAACTGAGTTAGGGACCTTCGGAGGTCTCAGACTTAGAGTCCAACTAGAAAACCAATATCATATCACTAAAAATAAATGATAACCTCTTGTAAATCTAGTAAAGACAGATTCTAATTATTGTATCTCATGTATCTTCTAAACTTCAGATTAAGTTAATTTTTTTATTTAAATATTGTAATAATAACCTCTATCTTAGATTAAGAGAAAACTCACCCAAAAAAGTTCATCTGGGCCTGTCCACAGAGGGTCTGTCACCATCTACTGAACCCTTTCAATCTCACTCCATAATATCAATTAACTTTGGCGCCAGTTGACCAACTATTGGACAATAAGTTGGTATCAACCGAACCAGACAACCTGTTCGAAAAATCGCACATGCATCTACCTTGAAGTTATATAGCTCACATGTGATGCATTTTGGGTCAAAATAGACGTTCGAGCGAATTGAAGAGCTGAACATAGAAACTAATATTATACAATAGAAAGAATAGTATGTCTGTCCTCCCACCAACTGTCCCCTATTTCAGGAAAAGAATATTTACAATATTGATTACAAAGACATGCATAAGATTACAAAGGCATGATGTCTGATGTAGCTAGAGATCATAAAATTAAATAGACAGTTACATAAATCATAGCAAGCAAGAATTTCCAAAAAAGAAAACAGTGTATTCACATTATTGATATATCTCTCTCTCTCACACACACAAACGCATGTAAGAGCTGATTCAAAAATTGACAACCAACTACAAAACAACATCACTGCAATAAAAAGAAATCCCAAACAAGGATTCATGCAACTTAATGACATAACATGAGTCACATTCAGTTAAATTATACAACAAAAGAATGCCAGCAAACCATACCCACACCCCCTAGTAGCCTCTAAATTACATCGCTCCTAGCATAAAGAGTGAATTTCCATAAAATGATCACAACCACTAATGCCGAGATTCTCCCTGTCATTTGTCACACAGTCGTAAAGCAGCAGCTCACCCTTGGAGTTGAGAAGAAGCAATTTATCATTCTTGAAAAGACCCATGACCTTAGTCACACCAACAGAAGTCGGAATATGAGCTGTGGCCTTGAGAGACCAGCTGCCACCCTCATTCCACACCCAAATCTCAAAACCAAAAGGTTCATCCATCTCAGCAGCAAACCCAACTTTCTTAACATCCATACGGAAGTCATGAACAACGACAGCAAGCGATCCATGACATTCAGCAAGGACAATATTGAAGTGGTTCAACCCCTTGTCAGTTGGAGGCATGGGAATAAGAGCAGCAGGAAACTCACCCTTAAAAGTATCAAACGGAATAATAGCATAACGGTAAGGTTCCTGCCAATGTGCAACCCAATAATAAACGCCGTTTATGTGAAGAGAGAAAATAGGGACACGTCCGACATCGGGTTGATGAGGAAACCGAATTTCCTTCCACAAACAAGTCTTGAGCGACATGACATAAGCCTGGATATCGGCTTGCCTGTCATGATTGGGGTATTCATCATCTTCAGCATATTCAGATTTGAGGCAGAAGACCAACTTATACTCCTCCGATACAGAATCAAACCCGATGCCCCAAAGCAGACTGCCCGAGTGATCTCGGACCCCAGACAACAAGTGTGTTTCCACCGGAAAATCAACGAGGGCTTTGAGTTCGTCAGTCGAAAGGTCCCACAGAAGGTATTCAACACCATCTCCTTTGCCATGGGATGAAGACACCAACATCCATGGGTTGCAGCTCGACAAGATTTCAAAATTTTCATCTGTGAGTCGAGATAAGTTGGGAAGATGAAGATGCTTGCCTGATTGTACTGCTCTGAACGAGTTGTTTTCCGTGGAGAGCACGTTGCACTTTATAGATCCGTCGCGTGCACCTTGCACCACCAAAATCATGGGAGTATCGTTGTTATTCGAATCGAGACCAAGCTGAACCGGACCATTGGGTTCGGAAGCAAGAGCGGCAATAGAAGGAGTATACCGTTTCAAAAGAGAGTGGATAACTGGAAGAGGATGAGAGCGGGTAAACGTAGGAGGAGAGTTGATAATAGGAAGAGAAAGAGGAGGGTTATGTGAGCGGGTAAAAGGAGGAGGAGCAAGACAGCTTGTCCGATTCACGGCAAATCGTACCGCCATTGCTATTTTCGATGACCGGAACCCTAATTTCTCGTTCCCCTGTCTATCTCGCGCAATTTTAATGTTTAAACACAGGACAGGACTCAGGAGAGCGCATTTATTCGCATGTGTAAATTAAACAATTTCAACCAAAACTCAATCGGCCCGTTACGCTCTCCAAACTAATATACCTCATAATGCACATCTATCTATTATAAAGTATTATAAATTATGAAATTAATAATGTATATATCAAATTACTAATTTGATATTTAGTAAATGAATAGTATAAATATAAATATATAACTACACATGAATATCTATATTATTCCATAAAAAGTAAGGGAAAATTTCACTTTTGGTACCCTAAGTATACATACTTTTCGGTATTCATACCCCTGGTTTCAATTTAATCATTTCAGTCACTCAAGTATTCAAAATCCATCATTATTGCCCAAACCGTCAGTTGACCGTGAGTCAACTGACGGCCACCTTCTCTAGCAGGTCATCTCCTTCTGGGGAAATTTCACTTTTGGTACCCCAAGTATACATACTTTTCGGTTTTGATACTTGTTGATATCCGGATCGGGCTCGTATGAAGGTAACGATCCGAGGGACCGGGAACCGGGCGAAGTCGGCCCGACCGATGGGGCCGGTTACAGAATTGACTCGGAGGTGCCGATCTGAGCCTAGGTCAAGGTCAACGAGAGCGGCGGACGGCTTTGTTTCCAAGGTCGGCACCTTATCTTCCCAGTTAAGGAGCCGGCCTGGTTAAGTGCCTTGTAGAGATGGGATCCGGAAGACCGGGGGATGGACTGAGTGCCAGAGCCCGGCCTGGGATCCCAAGAGGCCGACCTTCGTAAGAGTTAAGGCTCTGGGAAACAGTGAAAGGAGGCCACTTGTCAATCAATGATTATCAATGGGACATCCCAGACTAACCTGCAGGTCTAGAATATCTAGCCCGGCCAGATAGCACGTCCGCATTTAATGCAGCCCACACAAACATTAAAAGCCCTGCAGGTAATGATTGGAAGACCCACAAATCACTCCCAACCAGTCAGAGAAACGCCGGCTTGTCTTGCCGAGTTACTGTACGACAAGACCCACGAACAGTATCTAAATAGTGTCGCATTTAAGGACCCTATAAATAGAAGCTTTGAGCATTTATTTTGGGTTGTTGAATCCCCAACTGTCTACTCTGTACTTTCTCTCTCTAAGCTTGTAAGCTACCTGTGTAAGAATTTGTAAGGATATCGCAAGTGCCGACCTCGTACGAGAGACCGACCTCGTGATCAATTAATAAAATCGTATTTGAACCGTATTCTCTTGTTTTTCCCCTATTTCGTATTCGTTTTCCTATTTCTTTAACCGTTGATCGGAAACGTCCATCAACTAGTCAGATACTGTTCGTGGGTCTTGTCGTACAGTAACTCGGCAAGACAAGCCGACGTTTCTCTGACTGGTTGGGAGTGATTTGTGTGTCTTCCAATCATTACCTGCAGGGCATTTAATGTTGGTGTGGGCTGCATTAAATGCGGACGTGCTATCTGGCCGGGCTAGTTATTCTAGACCTGCAGGCTAGTCTGGGATGTCCCATTGATAATCATTGATTGACAAGTGGCCTCCTTTCACTGTTTCCCAGAGCCTTAACTCTTACGAAGGTCGGCCTCCTGGGATCCCAGGCCGGGCTCTGGCACTCAGTCCATCCCCCGGTCTTCCGGATCCCATCTCTACACGGCACTTAACCAGGCCGGCTCCGTAACGGGGAAGATAAGGTGCCGACCTTGGAAACAAAGCCGTCCGCCACTCTCGTTGACCTTGACCTAGGCTCAGATCGGCACCTCCGAGTCAATTCTGTAACCGGCCCCATCGGTCGGGCCGACTTCGCCCGGTTCTCGGTCCCTCGGATCGTTACCTTCATACGAGCCCGACCCGGATATCAACAGGTATCAAAACCGAAAAGTATGTATACTTGGGGTACCAAAAGTGAAATTTCCCCAGAAGGAGATGACCTGCTAGAGAAGGTGGCCGTCAGTTGACTCACGGTCAACTGACGGTTTGGGCAATAATGATGGATTTTGAATACTTGAGTGACTGAAATGATTAAATTGAAACCAAGGGTATCAAAACCGAAAAGTATGTAACTTAGGGTACCAAAAGTGAAATTTTCCCTAAAAAGTAATATATAAAATATTTTTGTTACTTTGAGGAATCATGATCAATTAACTACCTACAAACATATTGAAACAATTAAAATATAATTATAATTCCTTACAAAAAAAAGCAGAAGAGGAAGAAAAATAATATTTGCTACGACATTGTTATTTTGGCAATAGATTTTTTTTTTTTATTGTGAGATTCATAAATTCCGTATTGGGCTAACTATTCAACCTCCCTTAATACTTGAAGATTCTTTTGGAATAATTTTGCATTTTATTGTTTTCCATTTTATGTTTCACAAATTAGATCGAGATATGTGCTATCAACCTACATTAAGAAAAGTTCAATCTTTCAAGCCTACGATATATCAACACTTCATTTGAGAAAAGTGAATTTTTATTAATTCGCGAAAAGTTAATTTTTTCAAAAGAAAAATCATTTCAACAGTAAAACCATTCAACAGTAAAAATCATTTCTACAATAAAGAAAAATCATTTCAACAGTAAAACCAATCAAACCACGGATGAAGTGGTGCAAGTACTAACAATAAACCAATCAAAGACGAACAGGTGCAAGTACTACCAGTCAAACCACGACTCACCATAAACAGAGTGAATGTACATTCTCAACTTAATCAATGAGAAAAACCACCCTTTGGGTTTACTGAACAGGTATTGCTGGAATAAACAGCCACAAAAATGAGCACTCATATTAACTATTAAGAAGCCAATAATAAGGTCCAACAGTATTCTAAGGTATCTGAGCAGACCGCTTCTAATAAAATAGGATAAGTCACAAATCAAAAACACCATGAAAGAATACAGCATCATCTATGCCCAGTAACATATCAAGAAAGAAAAATTGACTAACTCTAAGGACATCATATGGACATATAAATTAAAAGGTTAGTCATTTAGAAATGCAATAAGGTTTCTATAGGAGAAGCTAGGCTTCAAATAGAAATGGGTACGAGACACTTTGCTGGCACTAATATGCTCCGTCTCTGAATTGTCCAGTCTAAGTTCCAAGCACTCTATCCTGTTATGTTTACCCTCGTCCTTGAAGTCATAGTGGTACCACAACAGACACAACTGATCACTACCAGAAGCAAAAACCCACGCATCTTCTGTATCAAACTCTTTCTCGGGATTGGGATCAAACTCGACAGGGATCCATTTCTTGTGAATCAAGTGATAACCGTGCAAAGGCCTTCGTTTTAAATCACGGCCATTGAGCAGCGTGTACATGATATCACCAACAACTGCAGCTCGCACTCGGAAAAATCACGACTAACAAACTCCCAGTTGGTTTTCGGGTCAAAGCATTCACCATCGTCAGGGGCATTTCTGTCCGTCTTCCCCAACACTTAAATCTTTCCGTCGATGGGTTTTGTCATGCCGGGAGCAGGTGAGATGGTGAAATCACTCGTTTCTCCAGTTTCCATGTTCAAAGCAAAACACGAAAAGCTATGGTGATCGTGATAGTCTTTGCCACGGTTGTAAAATCAAGTAAAAGCATTTTATTCTCTTCCCAGACGAGACTGGTACCTCAACAGCACAGCCGTCCATATATTCTTTTTTAACTCGTTGCCTACAGAAAAAAAAGCAAAATTATAGGTCAAGCTCAACTCAGGGGAAGAGATCAAAAGNAAAACCTCCGAAATTAGCTGCGTATCCAGATGCAAGTGCCTATATGCGTGAATACAAATTGTTCTCAAACGGTCAAACCAGTGTTCAAATTAACTAATCCGAAAAAACAGGATTTCAAATCAGAGATCAATAAAACAGGATTTCAAATAGAAAGATAGGTCAATAAAACGTTGAAACTTCACTCCAGATTCCATTATACACAAAGAAATAAAACCTTAAATACTGTAAATGGTCGCATTTGAAGCAGAAGAGCACAAATTTCAACGGAATACAAAAAGCATGCTTTTCTACATTAAAAGTTGAAATATGAAACCAAATAAGAAGAAGAGGAGAAGATTATACCAACCTGCGAGAGCGCGAAGATGGAATTGTTTTTTCTTCTTGTAGGGTGAAGAGAGAATAGACAAATAGAAAACCCAAAGCCCCTTCTCTTCATCTTATTGGGTTGATGACATTCTGATCAAATTAGCCCAACTACAAATTTTAGAGTACAATATCAATTATGCTAATGATTTTCCTTTTTCTTTTTTTAATATTAAAAGTATATGTATTTAGTTCGTTTTCCGTTTTGGACCGTTTGATTTGGGAATTAAATCCATACCGTCTATAGGCAAACCAGTGGATGGGCAAAAGTTTTGGGGGCATCTCTTATCCTCCTTGAGTTTTTTTTTTTTATTTACTCGAATAGAATATATTTAAAAAAAGGAGATTTTTTTGGAAGGACAATTTTAGGGTAGTTTTTATGATTTAGAATATTGTAAGTATTGACACATTATTAATATAAATTTTAAAAATGAACACACACTCACAAAAAACCAATACATAGTTTGAGTTCTACATTTCTACATGAGTTTGGATCGATGGTACAATATCTCATCCATGTGTATTAAGAACCGATGTGAAATTTGCTTGCAATCACAAAAGCTCAATCTCGACTCATTTGTTTACTTAAACAACCTGAGTTTGAATCTGGGACGAATTCAGAAATTAAGAATAGACTGGACTAGAATTTTAAAACTCATTTTAACAAAAATCACATAATATTTTTTTTTTTCAAATATTCACTGAAGTTGTGCTCGACGAGTTTCTACAAGAAAAAATCATTATGCTCATTTTGCACCGTATTTAATGTGCTTTCACTAGTTTGATGTCGATCGCGTTTTCTAAAGAATGATGATATCTACAAGGTTTTTTCTTTCTTGGCCGAAGGTT